CAGTTGAGGCTCTCATGAAGGTCATTCACATGTCATGTCCAAGTGATGGTTTGGTTGACGGGTCGCATGTTGACCACAGTTTTGAAAAAGTGGTTTATGGGGATAATTCCAGCGCTTTGAGCATCCTAATGAATCCGGATGGGGGATGGAGAACAAGGCATTTACGTCTTAGGTCCTCATGTCTCCGAGAACTTTTAAGGGATGACCCTCAAAACTGGAAGGTTCGACACCAACGGGGAATCGACTTGCCTGCTGATATGTTGACCAAACCCATAGTGTTGCAAAGGGAATGGATCAAGTTTTGGCATTTGTTGGGTTTTCATGTTGACCCCGAAATCCCAAAATATGGTGAAGATAGCCCCAAAACCAAAACCAAAAACAAACCTGCCGTGCCGAGCCCTGTTTCAGGACTTGAAAGCACTAAGGAAAAAACTGAGGAAACTGATGATGACCTCACCGTGAAGAAGGTCAAAGCACTGGTTTGCATTGCTGCGCTGTCTACGGCTGCTATGGCGAAGTGCTATGCAGCTGACCTGCGGCTGAAGTGCGCTAACCTGGTGCTGGAACTGGCGAAGTGGCTTACTGCTGTTTGGCATTCTCCACCTTCAAAAGAAGGTTCGCCCAAAGAGGCCTGTTCAATAGGGTGGGAGGTGGAAGAACCATCAAGAGCCATTGGCCAGAAGAAAGTCCAAAAAGCCAGGGGACACGAACCGGCTGCAACAAATCTTCCAAGGGAAAATGAACCTGGAAGATCAACCCTGAAAAATGAAACCTCGAAATATGTGGAAGCTCCAAGGGAAAACGAACCTGGAGACAACAACCTTGGGGAGTTTTGGGAACCCTCAAATGAAGTTTGTTGGGATCACCGTGAATACCATACCCCTCAAGAGTTTTGGGATTGTACCTCCGAAGATGAATTTGGGGATTGCGTGGCTTGGCACTCTTGTGGACAGGCGCAACATGTTTTAGAGTCCGTTGGTTGTGACTCTCCTGTTGAAAAACATGACGTCAGTTCATGGCCACTGTTGGCCGTTAAGCACCACTGCCCAACGGGCTGCCCCGGTCGTAGTCCGGTCAAACTCGCAGCCATGGCGCCAAAGATGTCCAAGCCGAAGCCTCCTGTGCCTCCGCAAGTGCTTGGGCCTCCAGCTGCTGCTGCCGCTGCGCCGCCTGCTGCTGTTGGGCCAAAACGAAAAGCTCCACCGCTGATGCTGCTGTGTGCATCGGCTATGGGAGATGCTGCAAGCTCTGCGGGTCGTCCAAAGCAAGACCCATACATCGGCACTTTGCCGAAGTTCCCGCCTGCGAGAAGGGAGGCTGAAAAAGCCCAGAAAAAATCTGGGGGTACGGGGCTAGATGAAATGCCTCGACATGGACCTTGGTTGGATGAAAAATACCGACAGCCAAATACAACTGGAAAAAAGGACTCTTGGTCCGTTGCAAAATGTGGAAATGAGATCTTCTTGGTGAAGGTCCATAGAGCGCCTCGAAAACAGCGCTTCCACCCACTGCACCGCTCAGCACCTGTTGAGGCGAAGTTTTTGACAGGTGAGAGGGTTACCAAGGCCTTTTTCCTGAACCCTGCAGATGATGGTCCGGGATTTTTGGTCTCCGACAGATGGGACAATCCCGTTGTCCGGTCCGAAGCAAAATGGACTGGGTACACTTTCCTCACCATGAGGAACGAAGCTTTGGAAGGTCTGAAAATACAGCTGGAACCAGCTGATACCGCTGATGGACCTCCGTGGCCTGCTGCTTCCCCTGCAAAGGAGGACGACATGGACGTGCACGTCGGTCTTCACAGTGAAATGCTGACTCCAAGGCGCCAAAGACCCCAAAGGGAACCTGGCCTGGTAATCGGCCGTTTGTACCTGGATGGATGCTTGGCTTCGAGTGGAACTGGGACTTTGTCAAGTGCTGAGTCTCAGGAAACAAGGCTGGTACCTATGCATGACCCGACCAGCCCCTACAACAAGACTTCAGGAACTACCTCGGTGGGATACAATCGTGGTGGTGGTGGCATCATTCGACGTGGTGTTGCCGCTCTGGAGCCGGCCTCTTCGAGCTCTGGATATGACCCACGACTCCCAAGGTCCTACTTGCCTCTGACAGAGGATTGGGATGTACCGCTGGTAGAATGGGCTCTTGTCACTGATGACGAGGATGAAGAAGATGAAAACCTCAACAATGAGGAGGAAGAGCCTGTGCCTTGAGGATCTGGCTTTATGCTGCTGGAGCTCTACTGAGGGCCGGAGGCTGAGTTTTGAATGTTTTCCTGAACTGCAGTAAACTGCAGGGGGGAGTGTGGTTCACCCGATCGAGCCATAACTCCATTTGCAGTTACATGTGGTCAAAGGACCATAAGGTTTAAAAGATGGATGGCATGCAACATGGCATGGCCACCTGCGCAAAGAATACACGCCATTGAACAAATGGCTCAAGATGCAAGCTCTTGAAAAGATAGAGCGCGTCAGCAGCTGAGAAGTTGCACCTGTGTGAAACCACGGATTCAATACAGCGTTGATGCCAGTGTTCAAGTGTGTTGATGCATGTTATTATGATTTACTGAATTTATTGTACCAGTAGTACCGCACAAGGCGGTGGCGGAAGTTTCAAAAATGGAAAACCTATAGGAGAGGTGAGTTGGTGTGACGCAAAAATGGCAGAGCGAACCCACTGATGGATTGAAAGGTGGTTGAGTGTTTCTCCCTTTCTGTCTCTCTTTCTCTCTTTCTCTCTGTGTCTCTTTTCGCCATCTATCTACAGAGCTACCTTTCTAGCCATCTACCTATCTACCTGTCTATTCATGTATCTATCGATCGATTTGTTTATTCACCTATCTATTAAACTGTCTATTTTTCTGTCTATCCAGCCATTCATCCATCCACTTACTTCTCTCTGTTAGTTTTTTTTCCCGTCCATCTCTTCATCGATCCATGTCCACAGCTATCCATCACCATGTTCTTCGTTCTGTTTCTCTATCGATTCATCCATGCATCTGTCCGTCTACCTCTTCTTCCAGCTGTCCATCCATCTATCTAGCTACCCATGCGTTTATCTGGTCATCGACGCTTCTAGCGATCTTTCGATCTAGCGATCTATGTGTCCACCTGTCGATCCATCTACCTGTCTATTGATCAATCTGTCTCTCTATCTAGCCAAATATCTTTCGATTTATCTTCGATGTATTTATGGATCTTGCGATGCATCGATCTGTCTATCTATCTATCGATCTATTTACCTAAAGTACCGCGCCTGCCACGAAAAAGTTAGTCCAGGTCATACGAAACGCTGCACCTGTCACGAAATAGCATCTTGGCATAGCTGACGATTTGATACGCCAAAATGCAACCCCTCTCAGGAAATCAACTCCTTGAGCTCCGAACATCTCTGCTGAAGATGCCTCTTGTACTGCGCCTGCCACGAAAAATGCATCTGTGCAGATCCTCTTCAAATCTCCCACGCCTGCCATCGTTTTTGAAAATGCTACAAAACCCTCACGTTTTAGTCACTTTTCAGTGGATGCACAATCCACTCCACCTACCACACAAAACGACGTCTGAACGTCCAAAATGTCTCCGAGACCCTCAGTTTTTAACACTTTTGACTTCGAAATGTGCTTCGCGCCACAACGCCGTGCACTTTTTCGACATCGCAACTTCCAAAACTGCTCCGAACCCCTCGTTTTTAACACATTTTACTTCCAAATGTGCATCTCAACTTCCAAAAGTGCTCCGAGACCGACAGTTTTAACATTTTTACTTCCCTATGTGTCTATCTATGCATCTTTTCATCCGTCAAGTTCTCTCTCCACCTGTCCTTCGATCTACCGCTTGACCTGTCGATCAATCTGTCTAACCGCCACGTCGACAACAAAACAATGCTGCTATAGACTTCTGTTGGCAGCATCAAAAACGAAGCAATTCTGCGAGACTTTCTCACTTTTTGCAGTTGAAAACATCAAAAACGAAGCGCTTCTTCGAGACTTCCTTCAAAAATGGAAAGTTGACTGTACAGCTGACGGCCTCGTGCCAATGCGTTTTGCGATTTTTCCATGCCGTGTCTCTAAAGTACTGCGCCTGCCACGAAAAAGTTAGTCCAGGTCATACGAAATGCTGCGCCTGTCACGAAATAGCATCTTGGCATAGCTGATGATTTGATACGCCAAAACTGCAACCCCTCTCAGGAAATCAGCTCCTTGAGCTCCGAACATCTCTGCTGAAGATGCCTCTTGTACTGCGCCTGCCACGAAAAATGCATCTGTGCAGATCCTCTTCAAATCTCCCACGCCTGCCATCGTTTTTGAAAATGCTACAAAACCCTCACGTTTTAGTCACTTGTCAGTGGATGCACAATCCACTCCACATGCCACACAAAACGACGTCTGAACGTCCAAAATGCCTCCGAGACCCTCAGTTTTTAACACTTTTGACTTCGAAATGTGCTTCGCGCCACAACGCCGTGCACTTTTTCGACATCTCAACTTCCAAAAGTGCTCCGAGACCGCCAGTTTTTAACACTTTTTACTTCCAAATGTGCTTCGCGCCACAACGCCGTGCACTTTTTCAACATCTCAACTTCCAAAAGTCCGATCCTGAGGTGTTTTGTACCTTTTCACTTCGAAATCGGCTTCGCGCCACAACGGCGTGCAACTTTTCATCTCTCATCTCCCCACATGTCTCCGCACCCGCCGCTTTAGCGAGCCTACTTTTCAACCCTCCGGAGCCACAAAACCACGAAAAAACACAGTGTTTCGCGACTGTCCTACCTTTTCGCGCACCTGCATCTTCTTTCTTCTGATCTTTTCTCTTCTGACTCTTCTCCCTGCTGACTGCTTTTTCATCTCTCCATATTGTCGGAAGTTTGACTTCTAAACTTCCTTCGATGATGTAAATAAAACACATATCACATATATTCATATATACTTGGCATTGCACATGTTGCATCTTGTTGCACTATCACCGGAGTTATACGTACATCTTGTTGCACTATCACCGGAGTTATACGTACCGTACAACAAACCCTCGACTCACATCGACCCACATCGACCCCCCATGGTCCCATGGTCTACCTCGGTTGGGCGGTGAGCGTCTCCAAAGTTCATCGCCGGGTCGACGCAAAGGCCACAGGGAAAGGTACAAAGAGCTGCGACGCATCAAACACTCTTCTTGTGCACCCCACATGCCGGATAGCCAGCCGCCCCCCGCATCACACCTTGACAAAACTTGACAAAACTTGATACAAGAAATCATACTTGATATTACTTGATCACAAGATATCACAAGATATCACAAAATATCACAAGCTCACACTGTCATTGAATTTGATTGAGGCTGAACACACATTCGAGACGCTTTAGTTGCACAACTGCATGAGGCAACATGTGCAAAATGCAAACTTGAAGAAGAACTGCCAAAATGCCGAGACACTCATTTGCAAAGTTGATCAGAACAGGCCTGTAACCAGAATCTCCCAGAATGTGCCCAGCCTGCGGAAGGGAAAGGACGTACATTTCGGAAGATAAACGCCTCGACCCTGCGTTGCGTTCCTTTACGATGCGTGAGGTAGAAATGTTTCCTGAACAGCAAAACACAATATATATATATATAAAATTTATATAATCAATTTTAATCAAACATCATCAAACATAACCAAAGTATAGAGATTCTTCATGATTCAGGGCAATTTGCATGACGGCACTCAAGGTCCGCCTTGAAGGTGTCCAAGTCTATGCACATGATCTTTGTTTCCCTTCCAGCATGAGGTACCGAAGGGGCCGGGGATTCCACCGAGAAGGGAAAGTACCTCAAGCAACGCCAAGTCAATGGACCCAATGGAAGGAAACTGGAAGCACCCTATGAGCCGAAAACATGCACCGACTCAGAAGGTTCACAGAAACCAAGCGCTGAAAGGAAGTTGGGCAATCAAATGATATCAAATGTACTTGCGGGAGTCTTCAGTCAAGATGCTGGCCCTCGGCTAGTCTTGCCTTGATATGAGGGGGCAAAGATGCCTTGGAACAAAAGCGCGACAATTGAAACTAGGAGCGACGGCAGCGACAACATTCTGCTTTCGTTTTGCCTTGTGCATCTTTGTGCTACTTGTCTGTCTCTTTTCTCTCTTTGCTCTGGGCTCGCGTACCAGGAATTCTAAGGTCTCCAGTGTGATCTCGCCTGGGACTTGCGCACATGCAGTACAGTGCAGTGACACCGCAAATCGAAAACAAGTACTGTGCAGTCCTTCTACAATGTGCCTGAGTGACGGCTGGGTGCAGGACTCCAAATGGGATTGCCAGGCTCAATGCCTTCTGCAAACTTTCGGACATTCTCCAGCTGTTTCCTGAGCTGTTTCGATAATTTAGATCTGTTTAGCGATGCTTTTCCTCCTATCTGGCGCTGTGAAATTTTGAGGGCTATATGCGCTATCAAGGCAAAGGCAACCGAGGCACTGGACAATAGCCCACTCATCTTCTGAAAAACCATCGGATTGCCAGACCATTGCGGCAACTGCCAAGATTTGACAAGTCCGCCAATTCACTCTGACTGAATGTTTTTAGGCACTCAGGCTGATATTTGGCTAATCTTTCACCAACAAGAGGTTCCAGCACAGAGCTCCTTGAACCCCAAGTCCAGTTGTGAGAACATCACTATCGTCACTTGCGGTTCAGAACTTCATGGCATCCTACTGCAACTGGCCACACCTTGTGACAAACCAAGGATTATGCTCTACACACTTTACACACTTGCGCTGTCACCAGCAGTGCTCTGCTGCTTTGCTCTTTGTCTCGGTCTCGGGAGACTTGCAAACTCAAGGATCTAGATCTAGATACTTTGCTCCCATCAATCCCGTCTTGAAAATGTCAACAGAGTTGACTGGAGCTCCAATCCAAAGAGACTCGTTGTGTCATCGAATGGACTCATTTCGTCCATGAGTTGGACAAGTCATGTCTCGATCTCACGGACATATATTCAGTTTCAAGTTCAATCAAATTCATTTAGCACCCACATCAGCACATCATTTCACATCCTGTCCTACGTTTTCCTGGGAATGAAACCTGGAGTGACCAAATTGCACAAGTGTCGGCAGCTGGAGACAGGAGACTTGTAGCTTGTGAATACAAAACCCATACCGCAAACAAGTTTGATGAAATACCCACTGCAATTTCTAGAATTCCGGACTATCATTACGGTCTTGTGTGAACCACTGAACTACAATAAATACATGTTCCCATGGTTTTCTTAATGTGCTTCAAAGAGGATCGGACATGAACTCATGGGCAACTTTGACCCAAGCAAAATGCTCGCAGTTCGTGCGCAGTTCGTGCGCAAACGCCTCCCTCATGCTGAACAATGCTGAACATATGGAGAAAAGATGAGAAAAGTCGCCCAAACAGCAATCTTTGAGTAAACACGACCAAAATTGCAGTTTCTACTTGGCATCTGTCCAAAAGAGCAAATTCTCAAAGCAGAGCACATTTATAGGAGGGCTGACACGAAACCTCAACCAGGACATTGCCAGAGCTGGAACCCCCGTCTGCAAAATGGTCGCATCCTGCCAAGGGATGGCTTAAGGGATGGCTTAAGGGATGGCTTAAGGGATGACTATGGGTGAAAAAGTCAAGCAACAAGTGAGAGAACAAATCCAACGTTCAAACCTGGGTGTCACACCTTAGTTTCTAACAGCATGGCTGCGATAGTGAGCAGAGGGCCCTCGATTGCTGCACTCTGCCACAAACAAGACATGTTTTTTCATCCTATATATTCCTATATACATTTTTCCCCACATTGACGTGTGGGGTTTTTGTTTTTAGTTCTGTATCCGCCGCCTCCTCCTCCTCGCCCGCCCGTCCTCCTCCTCACTCACCTCACTCACCTCACTCACCTCACTCACCTCACTCACACACACCAACACACTCACTCACACACACACACACTCACTCACACAGTCACACAGTCACACACTCACTCACTCACTCACTCACTCACTCACTCACTCATTCATGCACTCACTCACTCACTCACTCACTCACTCACACACACACACACTAGACAAGAATGGATCATTATATTGATCCGGCAGGAACTGAATCCTGAAACATGCAGATTAGATGGGAAACAAATTAATCAACGATGCATCCTACAAATAATGGAAGTTCTCTAGAATGATCTCCATGACCTGAATCGACATCAAAAAGAATAGAATAAGAATCAGAATATCAATGAACCAACGGTAATGTCATCGGCGAAGTCGTCGGCGAGGATTACCCAGCTAATACGTCGGCGACGATGTTGTCGGCGACCATGTAAAAACATGTGAAATAAATTGTTTGAAATTCGGAGTGGAATTCAGATTGTGACAACCGTGCAAATGTACCATGTCTGTCTTGGGGGTTCTGAGCTTAGCCCCTTGCTATTCCGAAAAAAATACAAGCGCAGGTACGTCCAGATGATCAGTCTGGATATCCTCCCAACTCATGAATAGCTTCGTTGGCAGTGGATTCATGAGTGGGCCACTGCCCCCTGCTTTAACAAATACAGAAAAAAGAAGTTTTACTGTACATCTATGCAGATGTGACACACACACACACACCCTGCCGAAGTAGGGTTCTTTTTGGAAGAAATTTGGCGGCTGTGATCTGCTGCACGAATTTCTGTATACCTTCGATACAGTGAAATGAGCTGGCTTCAGTCCGTAAGTCTATCTGCGCCTAAAAGGTTCAGCCGGTAGATTCAGAAGCTGAACTAGAGTATTGCTGCAGAGCTTGGATCGCGTCTGGGAAGCTCATGTGTGCCACCATTCCCCATGAAGCGGGGAGTTCCCCTGATGCCGTAGCTGCCGTCAATGATTCCAATAACTGCCTGGCCAATTAAGTTTGAAATAGTTGCCACATGTCCTCCGCCTCCTGGAGATGGAATAGTCTCAATACCAACGTGCCGATAAGGGTTGTTTCCATGTAGTAGGGGGATTTCAAAATGATGGCGCCAGTAATCCGCAGTTTGCTTCGACCATTCCCAATTTCCTAAAAGACCATAGGAGAAATGTTCAGGATCTCGACACCTGGAAATTCCCGAAGTGGATATTTCTTCAATGAAAAGTTCTCGCTCATTGTTGGAGTGTATGAAGATCTTGAAGTGAGCAGCTCCCTGACGCACTTTGTGACAAGTCAGTCGAAGAATAAACGGTTGATGAGTGCCAGGTACTAATAAAGAGGATTCCAAATAATTATACTGTCTAGTTCGCCACTCAGGTCGGTATTGTTCAAGAAGTTGTAGAATGGTCCAGTCTTCACGAACTTGAAAAACTTCTCCTTCGAGGTCAGCGTAGCGAAATTCCAAATCGGAGGGTACCATGTGGATGTCCCACTGTGTGCGAAGACGAGTTGCCAGTGCTGGTCGAAGACGGCTAAATTGTATGGTATTGGCTTCATCAGGGAGAATTTGGCGAGCCCAGGTGAATAATGCCTCCCGTTCTCCATCAGAGGTAAATCTGAAGTTGTGGTTCGCCAAAGCATTGAATAATTCATGGTCTCGTTCACTAGGATGGGTCAATGCCTGTAACGGGGAATACACTGGTAGGACAAAAGTTGCGCTTGCTGAGCTTCCCACAGTGAACATGGTTGGTTTCTTCTTCTGCACACCCTTTCCCCGTAGAATCCTAGCATGGAGCTTTGTCGTACCCCGGTCGCATTTTCACCCTCCAAAAGCTTTAAAATCTCATATATTTAAAAGAGGGTGATAATTGACCGTCCCACACCTGCCACGCAAAACGGACTTGAAAATGTGATCCGCGGGTGACCGAAATGGATGTTTTGTAAAGCTTTCAAGAAGCATAAACTTTGTTCCTCCTGAAGGGTACAAAAAGCTTATTGAGTGGGGATTGCCAAGTCATTTGCTGATTTTTGCACCTGCTTCAGCTTGGTCATTACTCCTCATAACATGCCTGTCTCCATCCTCTTTGTCTGCACTGCTACACATGTGCCGTGACGCAGGGTACAAAAAGCTTATTGAGTGGGGATTGCCAAGTCATTTGCTGATTTTTGCACCTGCTTCAGCTTGGTCATTACTCCACATAACATGCCTGTCTCCATCCTCTTTGTCTGCACTGCTACACATGTGCCGGGACGCACTGGTAGGACAAAAGTTGCGCTTGTTGAGCTTCCCACAGTGAACATGGTTGGTTTCTTCTTCTGCACACCCTTTCCCCGTAGAATCCTAGCATGGAGCTTTGTCGTACCCCGGTCGCATTCCCACCCTCCAAAAGCTTTAAAATCTTATATATTTAAAAGAGGGTGATAATTGACCGTCCCACACGTGCCACACAAAACGGACTTGAAAATGTGATCCGCGGTTGACCGAAATGGATGTTTTGTAAAGCTTTCAAGAAGCATAAACTTTGTTCCTCCTGAAGGGTACAAAAAGCTTATTGAGTGGGGATTGCCAAGTCATTTGCTGATTTTTGCACCTGCTTCAACATGTCTGTCTCCAACCTCTTTGCCTGCACTGCTACACATGTGCCGTGACGCAGGGTACAAAAAGCTTATTGAGTGGGGATTGCCAAGACATTTGCTGATTTTTGCACCTGCTTCAGCTTGGTCATTACTCCACATAGCATGTTTGTCTCCATCCTCTTTGTCTGCACTGCTACACATGTGCCGTGACGCACTGGTAGGACAAAAGTTGCGCTTGCTGAGCTTCCCACAGTGAACATGGTTGGTTTCTTCTTCTGCACACCCTTTCCCCGTAGAATCCTAGCATGGAGCTTTGTCGTACCCCGGTCGCATTTTCACCCTCCAAAAGCTTTAAAATCTTATATATTTAAAAGAGGGTGATAATTGACCGTCCCACACCTGCCACGCAAAACGGACTTGAAAATGTGATCCGCGGGTGACCGAAATGGATGTTTTGTAAAGCTTTCAAGAAGCATAAACTTTGTTCCTCCTGAAGTAGTTCACAATGATCAAAAATGGGTCGGTCAGGTGGTGGATGAATGCCAGCTGGTAGACAACCTGGACCCGCGAACCACGAAGCATGTTGAATACCACGAAGAGTTTCCACGTCCGAAGTGGCACGATATGGATGTGGACGGGAAACTTTAGGGGCCATGGCGTCAATGTTTACGAAATAAACCAAAGCTGCGGTCACGAAATAAAGATTTGAGTTCACTGCGGGAACCACAAGGGAGGTGTCAAGCAGCCGAAACTAGGTTTTTCCGTTCCGAAAGTGTTTAAACACTTGAGTCGGACATATCGGTGACACCATTATGATCTGGTTGCGGATGTCCATGTGTATAGGAAGTTGGCACCGAAGTCATTGGTTGCGTCGTAGTTCTCCGAGTTGTTCCGGCTGGTGAAGAAGGTGGAGTAGATCGCCATGGTGGCCAATAAAGTGAAATAGGAGAGCCTTGAGAGTGGTGCTGCGCGGATCGTCCCCAGCAAGATTGGAGAGTATAAGTATGGTCTGGTACGGCAGAAACGGGTTGTCCAAAGTGCACATTCGAATGTTCAGGATGTGGTAGAACAGGAAATAAAGAGGAAGCAGGTGTTGAAGGAGAAATAGCAGGAACGTCATAGTGGAGACGCCATTG